ATAGACTAAGATAAGTATATTACTGAGACAACTTGTCTGCAGCCATCCGCTGATTGCAGACACATGTTTAAATCCATTCTGTTTAGAATAAACTGTACATGCACAAGTGGAACTCTAGTAGAAATGCTGTATGAATTACGTTCATGCATCTTTCTGCTCCAGTTGCACTTGGAATCCTGTTTTGCTCTACTTCAAACCTACCACTTAAATTAAGGTATGGTATGTCTTTGGCCTGTAGCATATGACTTCTATTCTACACACACACATGCACACACATTATGTCATGTATTTTCTTAATACTTTACCATTTTGATTCTTTGCTCTTTTATAATCAAAATCGGGGCACTGGGGAGAAAGAAAATAGTTTTGCTTACCTGCCACCAGTCTATGAAGGAGTTATAAGATTCCCTGAAAGACAAGAAGCGATCCAAAGAAAGCCCAAAATGTCATGTTAGGGGACCCCAACGCTCCCTCTTGACACCATATATTCATTTACTGCATGAAACTGAGGGCCCGCTGTGTGCCAGAAATGATACACCTGTATAAACAGGTGCTGTTTTATACAGAAGTAAACAATACAGGAGATACTGCCACACTGTGACAAAATCCTGTTTCATGTGTCTTACCTCAACTTGGGGGAGACACAGAATAAACCCAATAAATAGAGTATGACAGAAAATTGCAAGTGTTACAGAGAGAAACAAACTAGAGAGAGGAAGGTAATAGTTGGGGAGTTTGTGGGTTTAGATATAAGTGGTCAAGATCGTTTTTGACTTAGAATGTGACATTGGAACAAAAACTTGGAAAAAGAGAGGGAGCAAGTTATTTAGGAGAAGCATTTCATATTCATTCATGAAATATTGATTGATTCTATACTACGTGCCATGGTTCTAGCATGGGTCCATGTGCTTACTCAAACGCTGACTGTTTTTCATATCCCTGGACTAGATATTCAAAGGGTTCCCTGGACTAAAATTTTCTTCTCCTGGTGCAAAACAAAACAAAAATATAGTTTGAACCACATGGAAGTGCCATTTTATAAGTTAAAATGGCCAGACGTAAACAGGTACATGTGGTTCAATCAATTACACAGTCTCCTTTCTAGAAGGTAGAGTTAAACGACTCCATCTGCAAATTCCCATTGACTTGCTATCTTTTTTGCAGTAGCAGAAAGCCAATAGGATTTGATGAATTGAAATTTACTAACCAAATCACCACCAAAGGCAAAATAAAGGGGTTGTGGGGTGGGGAGACAAGTTATTCCATGAACAACTACCTCTTATGCCATGGGACCAGAAAAACAGGATATTGCCTGGCTACCATTACAAAATCTTCTCATCAAAGATTCCATAGCAGAATCCTTATCAAAAAGAGTGGAGCAGAATTTCAAATTCTGATGGAACCCAGACTTCCTGGAGACATTGAGGCTGCATGTTTCCTTCCCCTGAAACTAGTGCCCTAAGTTTGTCTTTAAATCTTAACCAGAAATTAAATTTGCCTTTAAATCTTAAACAGATGTCCTCTGAAGTCATCTTTAAACCAAACAGTGTTGTTGTTGT